ATATCTCGGTTTCTGTAAGGGCTTTCAAAAATCTGTCTATTGATAAAATCTTAGCACAAGTGTTGTTAACATTTCTTCAGTTGACGTATTTTTGCTAACTCGCATAAGAACCTCTCAAATTCAGCTCAAAGTTTCTCTGTGTGTGACGGAGGACAGCCGTCTGTTCCGAAAGTTTCGTTTCGATCTCATATATCGCGGTTTCTGTGGTAGCTATCAAAAATCTGTCAACTGATAAAATCTTAGCACAAGTGTTGTTAACATTTCTTCAGTTGACGTATTTTTGCTAACTCGCATAAGAACCTCTCAAATTCATCTCAAAGTTTCTCTGTGTGTGACGGAGGACAGCCGTCTGTTCCGAAAGTTTCGTTTCGATCTCACATATCGCGGTTTCTGTGGGAGCTATTAAAAATCTGTCAACTGATAAAATCTTAGCACAAGTGTTGTTAACATTTCTTCAGTTGACGTATTTTTGCTAACTCGCATGAGAACCTCTCAAATTCAGCTCAAAGTTTCTCTGTGTGACGGAAGACGGCCGTCTGTTCCATATATCTCGGTTTCTGTAAGGGCTTTCAAAAATCTGTCAACTGATAAAATCTTAGCACAAGTGTTGTTAACATTTCTTCAGTTGACGTATTTTTGCTAACTCGCATGAGAACCTCTCAAATTCAGCTCAAAGTTTCTCTGTGTGACGGAAGACGGCCGTCTGTTCCATATATCTCGGTTTCTGTAAGGGCTATCAAAAATCTGTCAACTGATAAAATCTTAGCACAAGTGTTGTTAACATTTCTTCAGTTGACGTATTTTTGCTAACTCGCATGAGAACCTCTCAAATTCAGCTCAAAGTTTCTATGTGTGACGGAAGACGACCGTCTGTTCCATATATCTCGGTTTCTGTAAGGGCTATCAAAAATCTGTCAACTGATAAAATCTTAGCACAAGTGTTGTTAACATTTCTTCAGTTGACGTATTTTTGCTAACTCGCATGAGAACCTCTCAAATTCAGCTCAAAGTTTCTATGTGTGACGGAAGACGACCGTCTGTTCCATATATCTCGGTTTCTGTAAGGGCTATCAAAAATCTGTCAACTGATAAAATCTTAGCACAAGTGTTGTTAACATTTCTTCAGTTGTCGTATTTTTGCTAACTCGCATAAGAACCTCTCAAATTCAGCTCAAAGTTTCTCTGTGTGTGACGGAGGACAGCCGTCTGTTCCATATATCTCGGTTTCTGTAAGGGCTATCAAAAATCTGTCAACTGATAAAATCTTAGCACAAGTGTTGTTAACATTTCTTCAGTTGACGTATTTTTGCTAACTCGCATGAGAACCTCTCAAATTCAGCTCAAAGTTTCTATGTGTGACGGAAGACGACCGTCTGTTCCATATATCTCGGTTTCTGTAAGGGCTATCAAAAATCTGTCAACTGATAAAATCTTAGCACAAGTGTTGTTAACATTTCTTAGTTGACGTATTTTTGCTAACTCGCATAAGAACCTCTCAAATTCAGCTCAAAGTTTCTCTGTGTGACGGAAGACGGCCGTCTGTTCCATATATCTCGGTTTCTGTAAGGGCTTTCAAAAATCTGTCAACTGATAAAATCTTAGCACAAGTGTTGTTAACATTTCTTCAGTTGACGTATTTTTGCTAACTCGCATAAGAACCTCTCAAATTCAGCTCAAAGTTTCTCTGTGTGACGGAAGACGGCCGTCTGTTCCATATATCTCGGTTTCTGTAAGGGCTATCAAAAATCTGTCAACTAATAAAATCTTAACACAAGTGTTGTTAACATTTGTTCAGTTGACGTATTTTTGCTAACTCGCATGAGAACCTCTCAAATTCAGCTCAAAGTTTCTCTGTGTGACGGAAGACGGCCGTCTGTTCCATATATCTCGGTTTCTGTAATGGCTTTCAAAAATCTGTCAACTGATAAAATCTTAGCACAAGTGTTGTTAACATTTCTTCAGTTACGTATTTTTGCTAACTCGCATGAGAACC